TGACTTAAAAATTGTGGCATGTACTAAAATAAATTTGAATGTGTCCCATGGTACAGGCGGTCCTCGACTTACAACCACAAATGAGTCCAAAATTTCTGTTGCTAAGTGAGACATTGGCTAAGTGAGTTTTGCCCCATTTTACGATGTTTCTCGCCACCATTGTTAAATGAATCACCACTCTTCTTAAATTAGTAATCCAGTTGTTAAGTGAATCTGGCTTCTCTAGCAGCTTTGCTTTTTAGAAGGCCGCAAAAGAGGATCACGTGACCCCCCAGGACAATGCAACCGTCATAAACGTGAATCAGTTGCCAAGCGTCTGAAGTTTGATCATGTGCCTATAGGGATGTTGCAAGGATGTAAATATGAAAAACAGTCATAAGTCACTTTTTCAGGGACGTTGTAGCTTTGAATGGTCACCAAATGTTGTAAATTGAGGACTATCTGTATTTTCTCCCTATTTCTTGCTCTCTGGTTTTTTTTTATTTTATTTATTTATTTAATTTATATTGCTGCCTATTTGCCCAGGGCGACTCAAGGCGGCTTACACAATGTAAAACCATATTTAAAACAAAAAATAAAAATAAAAAACAATAAAAACTAACAAAAAGAATCAAATAGATTAATAAAGTGCAATAGAACAAAATCTGGAAAAAAATAAAATGAAAAAATCACCTCACAACTCCCATCCCCCGCCCTGACGACAGTAGATCACATGAGCCATTTGATGGGCTCCATCCCGCTCTGGGTTCCCCAGGCCCGCTGGCAGAACCAGGTCTTCAGTGCCTTCCAGAAGAGTATTAGTGAGGGGGCCATTCAAATCTCTGTGGGAATGATGTTCCAGAGAGAGGGAGCCACCACGAAGAAGGCCCTTCTTCTGGGTGCCACCAGGTGTATCTCCTTCGGGGATGGGGAACGACAACATTCTCTGCCTCCCTACGTTGATGGATCAGGTAGATGTGACCGGCAAGAGACGTTCCCTCAGATAACCTGGTCCGAAGCCATGAAGGGCTTTAAAGGTGACATCCAGCACCTTGAATTGCACCCGGAAGCAAATTGGCAACCTATGCAGCTCCCACAGGAGAGGTGATATATGTGCACACCGGGGTCTGCACAAAACCATGCGGGCCACTGCATTTTGCAACAACTGGAGCTTCCGGATGCTCTTCAAGGGCAGCCCTATGTAGAGCACGTTGCAATAATCAAGAGGGGAAGTGATCAGGGCGTGAGTGACTCTGAGTAACTGAGACATCGTTAAATATCAAAAGCAACTGCGTTCTCTTCGCTGATGATGTAAAGCTATTCAACACCACAGACAATACTGCTACCCTTCAAAAAGACCTTGACTATGTATCAGAATGGTCAAACAAATGGCAACTTCAAAGCTCAACAAATAAATGCACTGTCCTACATACTGGCAAAACAAAATCAGAAAATAAAATACAGGCTGAATAGTCAAGACCTTGTTGATGATCCAAACTCTGTCAAGGGACCTTGGAGTACTTATTTCTAATGATCTAAGTGCTAGAGCCCACTGTAACTACATAGCCAAAAAGGTGTTAAGAGTTGTTAACCTAATCTTACGTAGCTTTTTCTCTGGTAATATTACACTAATAACTAGAGCATACAAAACTTTTGCTAGATCAATACTCGAATACAGCTCATCAGTCTGGAACCCACATTACGTATCTGATATTAACACAGTTGAGAAAGTCCAGAAATATTTCACAAGAAGAGTTCTCAACTCCTCTACTCGTGGCAGAATACCTTATGCCACCAGAATCGAAATTCTAGACCTAGACAACCTAGAATTACGCTGCCTTCAGTCCGATCTAAGTATAGTATATAAAATCATACATTGCAATGTCCTACCTGCAAATGAATACTTTAGCTTCAGTCATAACAACACAAGAGCAAACAATAGATACAAACTCAAGGTTAATCGCACCAAACTTGATTGCAGGAAATACGACTTCAGCAACAGAGTGGTCAATGCCTGGAATACTCTACCTGACTCTGTGGTTTCTTCCCCAAACCCCAAAAACTTTAACCTTAGACTGTCTACTATTGACCTCACCCCTTTCCTAAGAGGTCTGTAGGAGGTGTGCATAAGCGCACCAACATGCCTACCGTCCCTGTCCTATTGTTTATTTTATTTTATTCTTTATTTTTCTTATATGTATCCATGTATTCATAACTATGTTTTTACTTATACCTATTATCTTATAAACAATTGACAAATAAAAATAAATAAATAAAATATTGAATTTGGACTCAGCCAATGAATATATTCTTTTTTTCATATGCAAATAAAAGGCATGGGAGTTTTGTTCCACCTCCAAATGGAAATAAAAGCAAAACCCTTCCCTGCAGATGGAAAAAATTCTCTCACCAAGGGAAAAGGCTGGGTGTATTTTTATTATTAGCACGTTACTTTAAAAAAAAACAACAAGTGATATATTGCCAGCCCTAGAAACCAATGCCTCATTTTCACAATCTCCCCTTTAACAACACAAATGAAAGATAAGTTTCTCACCCTTTTTGCAAAATATGTAGCTTGGGGGAAATTAAGAATTCAATTTAAAAAATACAAATCATTTATCTCCAGCAAAAGGTTGGGAGGAGGAAACGGGCCTGCCCATTTAAGCCACTAAAAATAATTTTTAAAGGGGAAAAAAATACAAGAATTCAAACATTTGCCCTCACTATGCATTTGAACAAGTGCAAACCAACCATTTAAGAATAAGTTTGCTAAGTGATTTTGTGCATTTGGTAATGTAAGTTTGGCAGGTTCATTTCAGGAGATTTTAGATGTAACCAGTAAGAAATAATTTTTCTCCCTTTCTATTGTCACTGAAATCTCTTCCTACTCCTCCTCTTCCTCCATCTTTGAGTCCAATCCCTGGTTGAGTAGGAGATCCTATACCTGAGATGGCGAACCTATGGCATGCTTGCCGGAAGTGGCACACAGAGCCATCTCTCCAGGCAAGCCAGCTGTCACCCATTGCTCTTCCATGTTGGTTTTCGTGTGCACAGGAGTGCTGGAAACCGGAAGAGCAACTCCCCAGCATGCATGCATGCCAGAAACCAGAAGACCAGGTGGCCGATGCGCATGTTCGCACCAGAAACTGAAAGTTCAGCTTTCTGGTGCGCACATGCATGCTGGGGAGCGGCTCTTCCAGTTTTCGGTGCTCCCCCACGTCCGCGCGCACTTCCTTTTTGGCATTCAGTGCTGAAAAGCTTTGCCAACACTGTCCTATACCATTCCAGACAAATGGATGTACAATCTCTTCTTGAAAACCTCCAGTGATGGAGCACCCACAACTTCCGGAGGCTAGTTCTTCCACTGATTTATTATTCTCATTGTCAGGAAATGTCTCCTTAGTTCTAGGTTGGATCTCTCATTGTTGATCTTCCACCCATTATTTCTTGTCCTGCCCTCAGATGCTTTGGAGAATAGGTTGTTTCCACCCTCACCCCCACAATCTTCTCTGTGACTCAAGTACTGGAAGACTGCTATCATATCACCTCTAGTTCCTTCTCTTTCTTAAGACTAGGCCTGTGATGGTGGCACACAGAGCCATTTGTGCTGGCACGTGAGCCGCAGGCAAACTTACCTCACTGTGCATGTGCGTGCCTCACAACTGATTTTCAGCCTGTTTAGGCCTTTTTCGGCCTCCCAGAGGCTTGAGGAAAACCTTTGCAGGCCAAAAAAATAGGCCCGTTTCATCACTTCCTTTATTTCTGGAAATACCGGAAGTGATGAAATGGTCCCATTTTTCGGCCTGCAAAGGCTGCAGAAGTTTTCCTCAAGCCTCTGGGAGGCCGAAAAAGGCCTCAAATGGGCCAAAAATCAGCTGGGAGGCGCAGTGCAGGTAAGGGGATGGTGGCAGGGGGGATTGCATGTGCTTTCACAGAGGGTGTGGGTGGGCGTGCGCATTGCCTTCTGGGTGCTGGCACATGAGCGCGTGTGCACAATTTTTGGCACAGGAACCCAAAAAGGTTATCCACCACTGGACTAAGCATACCTAGTTCCCACAATTGTTTCACTGTACGGATTTTTTGGGAAGTGAATAGACATTTTGGGGATGAATATAGACAAGATTAAACAAAGAAACAGGAAACCAACCATGGCTGGTATGATGACCAGGTCTTCACTGATGGTCACAAAATTAATAACCTGTTCATCCCTCATTGACTTAAGATTGACGGTTTTCAGCATTAATGGAAGTGTTTGAGGTATTGTGTGTGTCATCAAAGCTGTATTAGATATTCCATCTATGACAGCAGATTTCCCCCCCCCCCCGTAAGCTACTGCAACATTGCAACCATCAAGCAATAACAGACCCCAAAAAATATTACCTAAGGAAGATTTCACATTTTTAATCAACAAACTATGGGTTGGTTAAGACAATATTTATACCAAAGAAAGTTTTACACCAGCTTAAATAGGCGGTCCAGTGCATGGTTGGCTTCTTTAGTGCTTTGTAAAGGAATGGTATAAGTTATGTTTAGCCCTTCTTTAAATAAATTAATACTGTAAGAGGTGGAGAGAACAGATGGCACAAATCTTGAGGTCAGATTTGGTGTCTAAATACAAGTTCAAAACACTCCATAAAGTGAGGGTGTTTCACTGAGCAAGTAAAAAAGCAAAATTAAACTTCCTGCAAAAGTTGTCACTTTCCATTTTCTTTTTATTATTCCAAGACCATCTCGGAATTGTAGTCTAGATCCAGGAGAAAATGAAACTCATCTCTTCAAGATCCTTAGCTCCCTTCCCTCTTTTCACAGTGGAGAGACGAGGATTCAAGTTTTGCCATGTGCTTTTGCTGCTTGTGAAAAATCGCACACACACAAAAAAACCAATAATAGATCATCATGAAATTGTTTTTCCTGCCAAAGGAGGGGGAAAAAGCCAAATCTGTAGGAAGAAACAAGTAAGACATTCTTTTGCCAGAGTTTCTGGGCAACGATGAGAAAGTTGTTTGTAGGTAGCCCAAAGGCTATACATCGCCGTTGGGTGGCTGATGTGAAAATTGGCTCTCCTGCAGATCACAAGTGCCATTTTCTGAGACCGCCGAGCTGCCCTGGAGAGATCCAGGGGAAGGGGCTTTGTAGAGCATGCAGGCTAGCAGGAAGAAACACGAGCCCATCACCTGTAAGACATCCAAATTTGGGTTTTTTAGTCTTTCAGCAAGAATGTTGTTCCTTCGTGTCCCCAGTTTCTCAGAATACAAAAGAAGAAAGATAATCGGAGCTGGAATTGATTGGCTCCTTGGATGAAGCAAGTGTTCTGACCAAGGCTTCCCGAGACTGTAATTAAGCGCACGCTTAGTTAAAACAACTCTTGTTTTATTTCAACACTGGGAATTATTTTCATTCCCAGCTGGTAATGAGTCCCAAACAGTCCCTCGAGATAAGCACCCACCTTTCTTTCCTTTGAATTGCTGCCAACAACTAAAGTGCCAAATGAACTATTAAAAAACCAACTGAAGTACAAAGTTCACACAGACCTGCAAGGATTAATCAAAACAGAACGAACGGCTTTGCTTCCTACAAAGGTTTCGTCACCTTTGCCTGTCCTGTATACCTTATGGGAGGGGCAATCACCTCCAAGCCTGACTCCCGAGTTGCCCCTTTTGTCTCAGCTGTTCTTGCCTTCTAGCAGCTCTGTGCACATGCACACTGGGAACAGGCTCCCCTTATTCCTCAGCCTTACTACCGCCAGACTCTGGAAGCTCTGGAGTCAGAACCCTACTCCCTGATGGTTCTGGCCCCATCTCTGCATCGGACACAGGACCTTCGTCCAAGTCCTCTCCAGACTCCCTAACTGGTCCCCATTCTTCCCCACTGTCCAATTCTGCTGCCATCTGCATACGACAGCACCAAGTGAGTCTAAAACATTAGCACCATACTTCCCCAGATTTCAAAGTATAGTTTGTTGTTTAGGGTTAGGGTTACATGATAGCAGCATTCCAGTTTTTGAGGGGCTGCCACAAAGAAGTGGGGAGGGAATCAACTTATTTTCCAAAGCACCTTGAGGGCAGGATAAGAAACAATGCATGGAAACTAACCAAGGAGAGAAGCAACTCGGAATTAAGGAGAAACTTCCTAACTGTGAGCACAACCAACCAGTGGAACAGCTTGCCTTAGAAATGGTGGGTGCTCCATCACTGGAGGGTTTTAAGAAGAGACTGGACAGTCACTTGTCTGAAATGGTATGGGGTCTCCTGTTTGAGCAGGAGGCTGGGCTAGAAGACCTCCAAGGTCCCTTCCAGCTCTATTCTGATTGACTGAACTACAGGTAGTCCTTGAGTTGCAACCACAATTGAGCCCAAAGTTTCTGCTGCTAAACAAGATGGTGTTTAAGTGAGTTTTGCCCCCATTGTACAACCTTTCTTGCCACAGTTCTTAAGTGAATCACTCCAGTCACTAAATTAGCAACACGGTTGTTAAATGAATCTGGCTTCCCCATTGACTTTGCTTGTCGGGTTGCAAAAAGTGACATTGGTGTGACACTGCAACTGTCATAAATACATTCCAGCTGCCATGTGTTCGAATCTTGATAATGTGACTGTCCGCTTTGGAAGCCATATTAGCACCAGAAGCTTCCATGCTGCCACATTCCTGAGCCTGAGAAGGTGGGAGGGGGGTATTGCATGGAGCGGATGTAGTAGACATAACAGCATTCTTCTTTAGAGTCAAGGTCATGTTATTCCTGCACCTGGTTGAGGAGGGGTTGAGGGGGATGTCTAAAGTTGGGACGGATGGTGATTGGGGCATGTGATGGGATGATGGGGACAGGGCGTGGATTTGTAATATTTTACTTATTGGAGGGAAACCTGGAACTTTCAGATTCGGGATTTCCCAGATGTGCCAGTATATCTACTCTAATAAAAGGAAACTTTGAGAAATTGCCTGTCTCTGAGTTTTTAATTGGAGTTGGGTTTTTCTGGAACCCTGACAGTGACTTTGGGGGATTCTGCAATGGTCATAAATGAAACATGCTCATAAGCTGCTTTTTTCCCCAGTGCTGTTCTAACTTCAAATGGTCACTAAACAAATGGTTGCAAGTCAAGGACTTACTTGAAGAAGAATTTTGTATTAAGGTCTTCTTAAATCAGCTGCCATATAAGGGATATTTTAATTAAAGGGATATTTTATTTAATGTTAATTAAGCTAAGGAGAGATGAGCAGAATTAGGATCGGAGGCAGTTACAATGCAGTAAGGTGAAGGTAAATGTTCCCCTCGCAAATACATGCTAGTCGTTTCCAGCTCTAGGGGTCAATGCTCATCTCTGTTACAAAGCCGAAGAGCCAGCGCTGTCCGAAGACGTCTCTGTGGTCATGTGGCCGGCATGACTAAACACCAAAGGCGCATGGAACGCTGTTATCTTCCCACCAAAGGGGTCCCTATTTTTCTACTTGCATTTTTACATGTGTTTGAACTACTAAGTTGGCAGAACCTGGGACAAGTAACGGGAGCTCACTCCTTTACGTGGTGCTAGGGATTCGAACTGCTGAACTGCCGACCTTTTTGATTGACAAGCTCAGCATCTTAGCTACTGAGCCTACTGCCAGCAGTTCGATCCTGACTGGCTCAAGGTTGACTCAGCCTTCCATCCTTCTGAGATCTGTAAAATGAGGAGCCAGATTATTGGGGGCAAGAGGCTGACATTGGAAACAGTCCAGCAGGGGTTCCCAACCTTTGGGCTGCAGCCAACTACTGGACTGTGGCTTATTTGCAACTGGGCCACTTGAGTGGAAGACCCCTCTTTTCCCCAGCTGGGCTGCCAAGCCACAAAGGTTAATGACCATTGTTGTAAACACTATGGAGTGACATATAAGTCTATAGAAGTCTACTATTGCTGTTGCTATAATCCGGGATTACCTTGAATATCAGACCAGCGATCAGGGTGTATCGGCTCATGGAGAAGTTCTGATAGACATAACAAGATCCTTGTTCACCACACTGGCTCTGCCACAGAAGACATGACTTGTCAATCATCGACCCAAAAGCAATGGGGCCCGGGATGCTCCCTATATACAAAGACAGAAACGAGAGGTGTGGTATATCTCAAGCATTTCATATCCCACAAATTACTTCTGCAATAAGCTGGAGTGTTTGATTCTGTGAGGTCAGTCATATTTCATCTTGTCTTTCTTGGAATCGGATTTATTTTGAAAGTCTGCACTTGGCCAACTTCACACATGGGAAAAATTACTCAGAAAGAACAGGCGGTAAGACAATATTCACTCCGAATGGTTCACAACCTCTTTAAAAAAAAAAACAGTTCCAAGATCAACCTTATATATATTCCCAGTGTCAGCATAATAGCAAAAGTGTCATCCTTCACAAAAGGAACGTTCCTAGCTCAGTGTCTATACAGGTAGTCCTCAACTTATAACAGATAATTAGAGTTGGAAGGGAACTTGTAGGTGATCTAGTCCAACCGCCTGCACAAGCGGGAGACCCTACACCATTTTTGACAAATGGCAGTCCAACCTCTTCTTGAAAGTCTCAAGTAATGACGCTCCCACAACCTCTGAGGGCAAAGCTGTTCCACTGGTTGATTGTTCTCACTGTCAGAAAGTTTCTCCTTATTTCCAGGTTGAATCTGTCCTTGTTCAGTTTCCATCCATTATTCCTTGTCTGGCCTAGAGGTGCTTTAGAAAATAGCTTGACCCCTTCCTCCTCTCTGTGGGAGCCCCGGAAATATTGGATCACTGCTATCCTGTCCCCCCTGGTCCTTCTCTTCCCTAAACTAGCCATGCCCAGTTCCTGTAACCATTCTTCATATGTTTTAGTCTCCAGTCCCCTAATCATCCCGGTTGCTCTTCTCTGCACTCTTTCTAGAATCTCAACATCTTTTTCATAATGTGGTGACCAAAACTGGATGCAGTGCTCTAGGTGTGGTCTTACTAAGGCTTTATAGAGTGATATTAGTACCTCTATTGATCTTTATTGAATCCCTCTGTTATGTCCACAACGGAGCCCTCAAATTTCCATTGCTAAGCAAGGCAGTCGTTAAGTGAGTTTTGCCCCATTTTATACCACTTTTGGCCACAGTTCTGAAGTGAATCCCTGCAGGCCTTATGTGAACCTGGTTTTCCCTATTGACTTGGCTTGTCAGAAGCCGGTTGGGAAGGTCACTATAATGGTGATCACGTGATCCCCAGACCGTGGAACCATCATAAATACACACCAGTTGCCAAGCTCTAAATTTTGATCACCTGGCCATCGGGATGCTGCAATGCCCATAAGTATGGAAAATGGTCATAAGTCCCTTTTTTTCAGTGCCGTTGTAACTTTGAATGGTTACTAAATGAACAGTGGTAAGTCAAGGATTACCAATCCCATACTCCAGTATGCCAAAAGTTCAGCAGTTTAGAGCAGGGCTTCCCAATTCCTGGTTCGGGGACCGGTACCGGTCTGAGGCATGCCAGGAACCAGTCCGCAGAAAAACCTTTCTCCATGGAAACGGACCCTGGTGCCCAAAAGTTGGGAGCCACCGGTTTATGCCATCCATCTGGTAAATTCATGAGATTTGTTTTTCTTGTCACATCTGAACTAGATGGTGTTGTTTCTCTGTCATATATATATATATATATGGGTATATGCATAATTTTGTATTTATGTATTTATTTATTCCTGTTTATGTAGTGTATATTGGAGGTGGGGACCCTTTGAGAGCTGTATGCAATGAAATTTCATTTTAATGTATGTCGATTAGTGTACATTCAAAGTGACAGTATTGTTCTGTTCTGTTCTGTTCTGTTCCGTTCCGTTCCGTTTCATTTATTATTATTATTCTATTCCATTCCTATTCTATTCTATTACATTCCATATTATTATTCTATTCTATTCTATTCTATTCTATTCTATTCTATTCTATTCTATTCTATTCTGTTCTGTTCTGTTCTGTTCTGTTCTGTTCTGTTCTGTTCTGTTCTATTCTATTCTGTTCTATTTTATTTTATTTGGTTTGTCAATTGCTTACAAGATAATAGGTATAAGTAAAAACATAGTTATGAATACATGGATACATATAAGAAAAATAAAAGAAACAATAGGACAGGGACAGTAGGCACGTTGGTGTGCTTATGCACGCCCCCTACAGACCTCTTAGGAAAGGGGTGAGGTCAATAGTAGACAGTCTAAGGTTAAAATTTTTGGGCTTTGGGGAAGAAACCAGAGAGTCAGGTAGAGTATTCCAGACATTGACCACTCTGTTGCTGAAGTCGTATTTCCTGCAATCAAGTTTAGTGCGATTAACCTTGAGTTTGTATCTATTGTTTGCTCTTGTGTTGTTATGGTTGAAGCTGAATTATTCATTGACAGGTAGGACGTTGCAATGTATGATTTTATATACTATATTTAGATCGGACCAAAGGCGGCGTAGTTCTAGGATTTCTACGTCTAGAATTTCGATTCTGGTGACATAAGGTATTCTACAACAAGTAGAGGAGTGGAGAACTCTTCTTGTGAAATATTTCTGGACTTTCTCAACTGTGTTAATATCAGATATGTAATGTGGGTTCCAGACTGATGAGCTGTATTCGAGTATTGGTCTAGCAAATGTTTTGTATGCTCTAGTTGTTAGTGTAATATTTCCAGAGAAAAAGCTACGTAAGATTAGGTTAACAACTCTTAACACCTTTTTGGCTATGTAGTTACAGTGGGCTCTAGCACTTAGATCATTAGAAATAAGTATTCCAAGATCCTTGACAGAGTTTGGATCGTCAACAAGGTCTTGACTATTCAGCCTGTATTTTATTTTCTGATTTTTTTTT